AAATAAAAACAAACTGGCTGCAGCCAATTTATAAGTAGTTGTCAAATATTTTTTTTAAAAGTCCACACAGAGGTGGATTTAGATTAGTGCAAAAAGGGGGGGGGTCATGACCCCTCTGACTCTTTCCCCCTGGATACGTCCTTGTTCTGTTTATCTCTGATTTGAAAGCTATTGCGATAAGCGTTTAATGCACCCATCTCGAACCGTTCTGGCCCAAATAAAACTCGACCGGCTCCGCCGTAAAAACGATGCCAGCCTCACAACAAAACCTCTCCATTGCTGCAAAAAATTTGCGCACCCTGCATGTACATATTTTTAAATTTCGAACAAATTGTAGCAGGAATTTTTTAGGAAGACCTCATAAAAAGGCTGTTCTGAAGTTTCCAAGTTGTTTACCGACCTTATTGAAACCAACGTCATTTTTATAGTAATTTTTTTGTAAGGCTGTGTTTTCATACACATTTTAAGCCCCTTTTTATTTTTGTACCGATTTTCGAGGATGCACTCTTTTTAGTTATGCCCGCCTACACCCCGCCCCGCACCCTCCTCTATCTGTCTCACTCACACTTGCTAAAGTCCGACTAGTCTCCTCCATATCCCTCCGCTCCACTCACGGTCTATCGCCGGTGCCGCCGCCGCGTCCGCGGGGAACACAGTTCCTGCGGAACCTCCCCCACCTCCTCCTCCTCCTCCCCCTCCTCTTCCTCCTGTTCCTCCTCCTCCCTCTGCTATGGTCACCGGGCCACCAAGCCCGGGTCGCCCCGCCCGGTCCGCCCCGGTCCGCCCCGCCAGCTGGCCGGCCGTATAAAGGCGAAGCCCGGGGCGGACCGGCCACTTCAATTCGCATTCGCTCGGCAGTTGCACGTGCACCCCGCACCACACCAGGAGGACCGCCCGACAGCAGAATGAAGTACCTCATCCTTCTCGCCGTGCTCTGCGGCGCAGCGGTCGCCAAGTCGGTGAAGCAACTGCGTAAGTAGTACACCTTAAGGATGCCCTCGAATTTCCTCGAGCCTGAACAAGTGTGTACCAGTGTGTAAACTCAACTGTCGAATACGTCTGGCGGGGGGGGGGATTACATAGGCTCGTTTTATAGCTATTCATGGCAAAGAAAAGTGTCTGTCCAGGCATAGGCTGACTATAAAATCTGCCATGGCCAGATTTTTGATATCTTTGCGTAACAACTTAAAAATAATAACCATTGTTGATTTGCAAAATTTTATTTTCCACTCCGTCGAGACATCGGTTGTGTTTCCAACAACTTTCTTCATGCTTAACAACGTTTTTCACTGATTTTTTGTCATTTAAGAGTAAGCCTACAGAATCATGCCTGTCCTGTTCAAAATGACTCAACATGACTAGTTACTTTCAAAAAAAATAAATTCAATGTTTTAACATTCAAATGTTTCCAAACAGTTTACTTCTTCTTTTGGGGGATAGTAATGCGCCAAACGAGGACTGCCTTACACACTGACAAGGGTGCAACGGGCGTGCACAAGCAAGTGCTTACCACTACGTTGCGTTTTTGCATACCTTTATGTGTTTTACTGGATATTTGAACTCTGAAAAAAGTGTTCCGGAGTAAATTTTTACTCTTAAAAGTGTTTAACTTCAGGGTTGGTCATGTTAAAGTTGAAGTTTACTGCTGAACATTTTTAACTATTGAAATTTCCAGTCCAACACACTGATAAACTAAGTGTTCAACTGCTCAACACTTGTAAGTGTGGAACTGCAAATTGAATACTTGCAAGTGTGCAACTCGGTAGCCATACACTTACAAGTGTGCAACTCCTCGGTTGAGCACTTCCTACAGAGTAAGCGTCCAATCTAAGTTTATCAGTGCACCTAAACTTGTGCAAAATGCATGGAGTGGAAGTCTACCATGTGCAGATGCATGCCGGTAACAGTTGCACGCTTTTGTTTTCCAAATGAGCCAGAAACTCTCTTTTGAATGAAGTGGTGGCCTACTTTCTGTTTTATCCGTGCCAGAAGATAGAGAAGTGTAATCAATATTTTAGTTGGAGGCGGAAGCACACAGGGGGCCACTCGCATAGAGGCCCCGGCCGGCCAGCAGGCTGCCTAGGGAGTTCCCCAAGCGGCATTCGTAAACATCGGCCACAAAATGTGGGACACCCGAATTTTTCCACGCCATCCTAAACTCTAACTTCTCCTCCGCCCGTTGCAGCCGACAGCTGGTCCGTGTGCAAGAAGAGCGACCCCCAGCTGCAGAAGTGCTTCAAGGAGGCTGTGTCGCAGGCCATCCACGGCCTGGCTGAGAGCGGTGAGTAGTCGTGAGGTTCATGTACATGCTAAAAGTGGCTGCTTGGTTTGGAAGCAACAGTGGTAATTTTCAAACAAAAAATTGCTTGGAAATTACAGTATTTGCTTGGAAACCAAGCAGCCACTTTAAGCGGGTAAAGCAGCCCTGCAGTGGGGTAGCGTTTAGAGCTAGGCGAGAGGCGGAGGCAGTTCAGTCGGAAATGCACAAGGCGCAGTCTCTTTCGATCCCTTCCCGGAGCGGTGGGGTGGGGTTAGCGACCTCCACACTTCGGCCCATACCCCTTCCCGACGCCCGGCGGCCCGGCGGCCCGGGAGGTGTGGCGGGACCCCGCGGGCGACTCGGCGCGGCTCTGCTGGTGCTTTTGGGCGGGCGGGCGCGTCCGAACATGGTCAGGGACGCGCTCCTGAGGGAAAAGAAAACACAACGCTCAAGGCGAGAATGCGAGTTTAACTCGACTGGTGAAGTGGGACTGGAAAGGAGCGGGGACTTTGGGGATGCATGTTAGGTAAAGATTAAATCTGTAGTACGTTTATACGGGGTCATGAACAAGAACAGTTTCATTATGGTTTCGTACAGTAGTGGTAATTGTTTGTTCTATGCAAGGCGAGTACTTGGGTCCATGATGGGTCTCACGCTCATTACTCATACTGTAAGTAGTGAGTTCAGAGAGTCTGTGTTTTTAGACGTTAATGATATATACCCAAAAAACGGTTCCGTTGATTTTATGTCTTATGTTATACTGTAATTTTTCTTTTTATTCAAATGATTTTTCAATCCTTCAAGGGAAACATATGGCCATAGGGTAAAGAATCATTCTTTAAAACAGAAAGCTCCTTCAAGGTAACGAAAAAATTCTATCATGTCGTTATTATATGAAGGGAAATTTCCGTTGGAAGAAGGAAATTCCCATTCGTTCAATGGAACCATTTTCTAGGTGTAGAATTGCTGAACCATTGAAAACACATGTAGGTAAGCATGTAGGGGGATGCATTTATCCCGGCCTCCATTGAGAACCCCTTAAGCTCGAAAAAGATTCCCCTCACCCCCAAAAGAACCACGCTATTCGTGTTCGGCCCCTCAGGCGGCCTCTGTAGGTTCACCCAGCAGTCAGGAAAACAAACTCTTCGCACGACGTATGAATGAAAGGCACCGCGCCGCACGCTGCCTTCGCCTGGCCGGTCACGTGTCGGCCGTCACATGTCACACGTGCGTCACTCATGAAAGTTTCATCAGGCCTCCGGGAGTCATTTCCAGTTAAGCCGCACGGGCCCCCCTCGCTATGAAATCGTCACATGTCGGGCGAGTGGAGCAGTGGCGGCTGTGGGATGGGGGGAGGGACGAGGGGGGCCGGTGGGGAGACCGGGCCAGGCTGACCCTCGCTAACCGGACGGCACCCGGGCCGGGCGGCACTGCCAGCGGCAGCGTAAAGGAGCGGGGATGAATTTATAGCCAAACAGATATCAGGGTGTTAAGAGTTCCCATTGAAAAGGTGGGATGGGAGATGCGAAAATAAGTAACACACTGTCGTGGAGGTCGATATTGTTCAGAAAGAGGATGGATGAAGAAACAAAAATAAACAAACAAAAATGCAAAATAAAAACAAACTGGCTGCAGCCAATTTATAAGTAGTTGTCAAATATTTTTTTTAAAAGTCCACACAGAGGTGGATTTAGATTAGTGCAAAAAACGGGGGCACTCGGCCTTCAAAAAAAATTGTCCAAAGTTTGGAATTATTTTCTTTTCTTAACGATTTGTTTTTGGCATTGACTGTAATGATAGAGTTTTTAGCGGAAGCGATTGAGAGGATGGGAGGTGAGAAGAGGTGGGCGAGAAAGATTAAGAGAGCCTGAGCGAGAAGCGAGGCCTGCAAGTAGGCCTAGGTGAACTTGACGCCCGGGCTCCCGGGCTTGTCCGGTCTACATCATCGGCCCAGTCGGACGCAGCCCGTCCCCCCTCCTCCTCCTCGACCGGCAAAGCTGTTCTCCTTCCGACGTCTGCGTCATCTCTGCATCTCTCTCGACGCGCCGCCCCTTCTCTGTGCCAACAGGTGAGCCTTCCCTCGGCATCTTCACCGTCGACCCGCTGCGCATGACCCAGCTCAACATCGGCCAGGGCACGGGCCCCGTCGCCATCGACCTGGAGTTCCGCGACCTGGACCTGATGGGCATGAAAGGCGCCGTTTTCGACGACGCCACGTGAGTGTGCCAGACGAGGCGAGCGCCGGCGGGGTAGGCAGTCCCGTTGCGCACGGCTGCTGTGCGGGACTGCCGACCCCCGCACCTCGCAGGCGCCCCGGGTAGGCAGTCCCGTTGCGCACGGCT